ATCTCAATTTGTTTTTATAAATTGAATATATGCATGTATTTCATTATTAAGTTGTTTCCTCTGCTTTGGCATTGATTCGTTGCCAGCTGATCACTGAGTCCGTCTGTCATAAAGAGGTTTTATATATTCAAGGATAACTCATCAATTTGCTTCTTTATATTTGACCTCTTTTATTTTTAACATTGGATACTGATTTTTCTCTCCTTTTTCCTTGCTTCAGGTTTGTTATCATTATGCCAAGAAGTCATCCTATTACTTGCTCCTCCAATAAGAATCCATTGGAAATTACAGTCAACTATTTGGAAGAACATGTCAAATATTTGCAAAGATGTTTGCGCAGGTCAGAACAATATAATCTTCTCTTGAAACAAAAGTTGAAAATGGTCTTAGAGGAAATAACTACACTTAAAGAAGAATGCATTAATCATTTGGCTGTGAGTTAAACTCAATCAGATATTATTGGTGTCCTCTGACATCATATTGTTGAATTTGAATTCAGAAATAAAGAATTAGAAAAAAAACTTCTTTATTGTCGAAGAACTTCAAGTCCTAACTCAAATTCCTGGGCTCATATGGGTGGTCCTTGGGAAAAATAATATTGTCTTCCATATGATAGAGATAGCATACTTATTGGATATAAATATAAACTTAATCCAAACTGGATATGATTAAATCCTGGAAAAAATCCTGGGTCTTATTCTTTCAGTTATCAAGAAGAACAAGAAAGAAGGAATAATAATAATAACAATAATAATGTGTAAGAATTTTGTTTTTAAATAAAGAATTGTGTAATTTTGAATATAACAGTTGCTACTGATAAGAAAAATAATATACTGGAGCTAGGGTTCTTGCCAGTGACAAATAATTGAAGCTAGAGTTCTGGCTGGTTATTTTGCTGTCATATTTTTTTGTTTTTGTAGGAAATCTTGTACCAGCTTCTTTTAATAGGTTCTTTCTTTTGCTCAAGGATTCAATGATACTTGTATTTGAACAAGTTGAGAACTGGACTATCATGGTATCTATGTCCATGTCATATAGCCTGGATGCTGAATTTTTTAGTAGTTAAAGGATATCTCAAAATTTCAATGTTTCTTAAAAATGTAATAGTAATAATAATGATAATAAAATAATAAAGTTTTAATAAAATTAAAAATATTTATGTGAATAAAATAAATATATTATTCATGCAAAATGAATTGAAAGAATAATATTAATTATTTTGATAATTTCATAAAATGTTATAGCCTCAAACATCATCCTGCTACAATTTTGTACTTCATAACTGACCAACCTTTAACTAGCATATGCTATGGATTCCTAAAAATCAAGGTCATCTACAGCTATATAATGGCTTTATAAAATTACCAAAGCAAAATAATAATATTTTTTCAAATCAAAAATAAAAAAGTAAAATGATATATGTATCACTAAATGCTAATAGAGTATGGAGGATAATTAAAGAAATAATGAAGGAATTATAAAAAGGTAAGGTGAATATATAATAAAGTGCAATTTTGTATCAGGACAAGATTGGGACATGTAGGTATATGTATGCTAGTAAGGGATTATATGGTGTGGAGTATATGCTAATCATATTTTCTTTTCTTTGTAAAGATGCCATCACCATTACACGACCAATCACGATGATCAGCGAGAACTACGGGTTCATCAAAGTCTTTGTGTAGATCTTGATATGGTATCATTGGTTGGTTCATCAGTAATAAATTTTTCCATGAGCTCTTTTTTTTTTCTTGTTATTATCTTCATTGGTTGGTAGTCTTGGTATCTTGTCTGTTTACTTCAGAATCCCAACATGGTTCCTCAGGGCTGAAGCCGCTCCAGATAAGTGCGTTGTTTTAGTATTGTTGCTTTCTTTCCCATTGTCATTCTCTCTGTTTTTTTTCCAATAAATTCAATGCTTGTGGTTTCTCAGAAGGCATACAATCGTGATTATAATTGTGATTATAATTATGACAGCATCCTAGTGTTCACATCAGAGCTGTCATCTTCGTGAGGTGAGGTAAGTGTTCTGTTTGCTATATCCATTTTCGTTTGGATAGTTAATTCTTTTTCTAACTACTCTTGTCTTCATTTGTATTGGTGATCTTGAAATTATCCATCCATCCATTCGTCCATCATCATCTTGGTGTGGTTCACGACATCTATAATTTATCTTGGTCTTGGAGGTTTGTCATGGTAAGTATGGTCTTGATTGTTGGTATTGTTTTTCACATACTTCTGTTGGTTTCTTTTCTGTAGATCCTTGCGTCATTGCAGCATTTGTCTTCATTGTAATTAGAGGGTAATGTGTAATCGTGATCGTGATCATGACCGTGATCACAATTATGATGGCTTTTCCAATTGTCATAGCTAGTATTTTGTTATTATGATGTAATTCCGGTAAGTCGTGGCATTTTCTTTCTTTTTGGCATTCTACTGTGGCTTCTAACTTTTTCTTATCAGTCTTTCCCTAGCCCCATGCTCTTAACATCTGATTCACTATCCACAGGTTCTTCTTGACCCTCGGCGATATTAATGTCTCTGGCTTGGCTACTGAAATCTCATCGATAAGTTTTTGTTCTTTGCCTTTGGTTTCTTTGTCATTCTTTTCTCTTTTTTTATAGGACAATCCTTCTTTTTTTTAGGAACTCGTCCCTTGCTTCTTTCAGCATCGTGACTTTCGTGATTGTTGATATTCCAGCATGACCCTCAGGATAGGGCTCCGAAAAAATTAAGTTAATTCGAGCTAACTCGATATAAAACTCGAAGAGTCGAGCTCAAGTTTTATTTTTATAATTTGAGTTTAATTCGAGTTAGAATTTTAAAAGCTTGATTTGACTCGCGAGTTATATATTATATAAGAAAAATAAAATAGTATAGTTAAATTAAATAAATAATATATTATTAAAATTTACTTAAATTTTCTTTCCAGTTTTTTCAGTTATTTCCTTTTTATATTTGTTTTATTGTTATAATTTTTAATTTGCCTCATGTCATTAATCAATTCTTTTATTATTAATAATTAATTAATTATGAGTATTCATGTATTAATATTTCCAAAATTTTATATATTGTAATATAAATCCTTGTTTATATCTGGTTTTTACTGGATTTTCATTGATTATTTATATGCTTATTTTGTTTAAGCACCAATTGGATAATTATTTAACAATTGTTTAATTTTCTCACATGATTTCTTATCCAAATTTAGATTTAGAACAATCTTAGATTCAAATATTTTTCCACATTAATAAAATTTTTTTTTGTTTTAATTTCTATTTTTAAAATTTTCTTATCGGTTAAATTTTTTCTTGGTAAGAATTTTTAGGATTTTTCTTATTATTTAATTGATTGTTATTCCAAGTAATTTTGTTTTTCATTCTTTTTATTTTTTGTTTTTTATAAACAAAATGCCAAGAATTAATCGTGTTGCTTGTGCTATTAATCATGAAAATTCTTTGGTTGGATGTATCATGTTAATTCAAGAAAAAATTAAATTTTTAGGTCGTTCCCTTGTTGGTTGCAAATGTCTGGAACATCAAGCTCAAATCACTTCCTTACAAAATCAAGATTTTCTCTTTCATAATAAAATTCAAAAACTCAAAGCAGAACTGGTTTTTCTAGAAAATAAATATCAAGAAGTATCCTCCTATAATACTCGATTACATACTTTTATAAGAACCCATAATGCTCGATATCGTGCCAGAATAAACTCTCTTTTAGAAGCAAACTTCACTCATCTTCAATAGCATACTTGTCAACACAAAGCTTACAGAGCAGAAATAATTTTCCTTCGATCCCATGTGAATAAACTTCAAAATATTTTAAAGGAATATAAAATTTCTTCACTGTTGCCACCTCTACCAGTTCCTTGGAAATTAGATGTTGTTGCTTCTTCTCCAACCTGGATTGTTAATCCTGAATGGTCCAGGTTTAATTTGAATAATATTTCTTCCAACAATCCAAATGAATGATGTTTTGTTTTGTTGTAAGATTGTAATTATACTTTTTGAAAAATAAAGTTTTTGTTTTTGTCCTATTTGAATATTTTTCTACTAATAAATGACAAGTTGTTGTGTTGCTCATTGGGCCGATAACGTGAAACAAAGGTGTTACTCTGTGGATCCTTTTGTTTCATATGTCAACTTTTTATTTGTTTTTCTTTTTTAGTATTCCTTGTTTCATCCAAATTTTGAAGAGTCTCCTATTGTTCAATAAAATATTTTCAAAATATTATGTAATATGTTATTGTCCGGTATAAAACTTTATTCGAAAAAAGATAAGTATATAATTAAAAATAAAAAATATATATATAATGATAACTAATATTAAGTAATTTCATAAAATACTATAGTCTCAAACATTATTCTGCTACCGCTTTATACTTTATGACTAATCAGCCCTTAACCAGCATATGTTATAGATTTCTAAGAATCAAAGTTGTCAATGGCTATGTATATGGCTTTATGAAAGTACTTAATATTTAAGAAATATTCTAATATTATAAATAATAAAATAATTTTGAACTGATTTCAAGAATATATTCTATGTATTATCAATAAAATCCAATAAAATTGTTGCTTAATCAATAAATATGTAATTATTTTCAAAGGCAGTTTAGAAATTTTCTGGCGTGATTCTAAAATTTATATTATATATATATTGTTTAAAAGTTGGATCCAAAAAAATCATATCTAGCATTTTTGTCACCTTCAAAAATAATTACCCAAATATCCAATAATAAATAATATTGTCCAGTAATTATGTAATAATTGTTGTTGCCTTGTGCATTGAAATAATTGTTCTATAAGTTTATATTTCAATAAATCATTAATAATAATATCTAGATTATTGTTTAATGATTGTTTAAATAATTGTTATTATTTTATTATTAAATCCAATAATTTAAACTTCTGTTTAATATATTTCAATTGATTCAATTCATTTGCAAACAGATCCTTATTTTTATTCAACAACTTATTTAATTGTTATTGTTCAGAAGTTAAACTATTTTCCTTCAATATATTGTTATAACAAAAATTTTAAATTATATTCTTGTTTTTATAGAGAGGCTGCAGTAAATTCCATTTATTAAATTAGTTATAACATTTTTCACAAATGTCCTCCTTCAATTCCAAAATTTTATTATATCAACAGATAACATTTGAACCTTTTCAATAATATCCTGTGATATATTTATTTAATAACTTTTGTTCTATTATTTCAGTTAAATTCTCAATATATTCTAATAATTTCTATTTGCTTTTAAATATATTATAAGTATTTATGAAATTATATATCTTAACTTAAAGAAAATATGAATATTCAAAGTTCATTGAAAACAATCATATTATATATTTTATTATATAAATTTTTTATTTTGTTTATATAATCTTATTGTGATTAACTTTTAAAATTTAATCTATTTTATCCAAAAAGCATTTTTCTTTTAAGCTTTATATTTAAAGAAAAAAACTAAAAGTTTCAATTAATCAAATAAAAAAATTTTTATTTGATTTGGATAAGTATTGATTGAATTAGACTTCTTCCTTGTAAAATGATCACTTTTAAGAAACAAAAATAAAATTACAAATTATTATATATCTCAATGGATATTGATTTTTGCTCTAAGATTCATATTGAGAAAAAAATTTCTGAAGTCTAGAGCTTTTCAATGGTGGTTTTCCGCAAATGATTGGATTTGAATTCATCAAAATCACCTGGATCATCCAAATTTGATCATATCAAAAATATAATTTTTTTTAATTTTTTTTAATTTTTTTATTAATTCTAATTAAAGGAAGCTTCTTTCATTATAATAAACTATATATTTTCTGAAAACTAGAATTTTTTTTAATCTAAAAATACTGAATTTATAAAATTTGGATGGTTTGTTATAAAAATATTGATTTTTAAAGATTTATATATAATTTTTTATTTTTTTTTATTTTTGATTTATTTTTATTTAAAAAATTATTTAATATAATATATAAAATTAAATAAAAATAAAATAAAATTTAATTTAATTTTTAAAAGTATTTTTATGAGAAAAAAAAACCATAGAAAAACGAATTCCTTGAGCAGGTGAATTACCATGAATCAACAAATTAGATCTAAACATCACTACTTGCCCTTTAACTAATTTTAGTCTAAGACCTAAATATGGAAAAATTAAATGACCACCTTCCCATTCACCTGTAGGAACAACAGTACACAATCCATCATCATTTAAATCGATATGAAATTCAGTTGTGCAATTATAATTAATTGCCAACATTGCAAAAACTTTAAAAAGTTTTTTGACCTTTAAATAAAAAAATAATAATTAAAATTAAAAATAATAATAATAAAAATAATAATAATAAATACGATATACCTTTTTGGGATATTGAACAGATATACATTTTTTGTACCAATTTGGATAATATATTTTCATTAAATTGGCCAAAACCTTATCAGCCAATGGTTTAATACCATCTAACATACGATCAATACACCTAATAAAATATTAAATTAATAATTATAATATATAATAAAAATAAAAAATAAATATATAAATACAAACAATAAGTGATCTTGACAACTTCCAGTAGTTCCCAAATAATCACCAGAATTATAAACCATTTTGGAATATAATCTATAAGTTCCAAAATGTTCACTATTGCTTTT